ATGAATAGGATTAGGAACAATGCAGTTTTGGAACAGCTGGTTGAAACAATGAAGTCAGTCATGGTCTTGTTGAATTGGGGGTGCGGTTAGTAATAGGCACTTTTCAAGTTTTCAATTTATGTTAAGAACTCTTTAACCCCAAAGCCGGAATTGGGGGTGCGGTTACTATTATGTATGCGGTGTATATTAGGACTTTAATGGTAATTCCCTTTATCATAGTTTGTTTCAATATAAATATGCATTGTCATAATTAATTTTGAATACAAACAAGTTTTGGGGTTGAACCAACAGTGGGGAATCAGTCTACCGAATGTCCTTAAAAGATGTAAATATCTTACAAAAACATTGGTGCCTTATTTGTTTAATTATTTTAAGGAACATAATTTCCAGCTTTATTGAAAGTAATTGAGATATTTTAGAATAAAAACAAATGTCTCATTGCAAAAAAAAAGTGCTGCATTTAGATGTGAATAGATTCATAAAACATGCAAGATAACAGAAAAATTTAGCTGGCTTTAGTCCAAGTATTTTGTACAGGTGTCTGTCAAAAATGAATGATTCACTGAGACAAATATGAACTGCCTCATTGTGTGACTACTGTATTATATGAAAATTAAACAAGCAGCCTATCGGCTGAGATAGCTCCGCTGTTAGCAATGCACATTTCAATTAAAGAACTGAAGACATCATTAGAAAATGAACAATATGTATAGTATCAAAGCAATCAGACTTGCAGTTTTTAACAAGAAGTCGAAAATATCACTTTCTATCAAAAATGACCAAAATATTCACCAAAATTAGAGAATTGAAGATATCATCATGAAATGTACAAATCTGAGAAAGGTCTACATGTAGTATCTATATGTGTAATATCAAAGCAATTGAACTTTTGGTTTTTAACAAGAAGTCAAAAATATCACTTTTTACCAAAAATTACAAAAATATTCACCAAAATTAGAGAATTGAAGATATCATCACGAAATGAACAAATCTGAGAGAGGTCCACATGTAGTACCTATATATGTAGTATCAAAGCAATTGGACTTGCAGTTTTTAACAAGAAGTCGAAAATATCACTTTTTACCAAAAATGATAAAAATATCCACCAAAATTAGAGAATTAAAGATATCATTACAAAATGAACAAATCTGAGAGAGGTCCACATGTAGTACCTATATATGTAATATCAAAGCAATTGCACTTGCATTTTTTAACAAGAAGTCGAAAATATCACTTTTTACCAAAAATGACAAAAATATTCACCAAAATTAGAGAATTGAAGATATCAACATGAAATTAAAGCCGCAAGCGGCGTCACCGGGGCCCAAGCTGATAAGATTCTGTTTCATAATTAATGAGGTCACATGTTAGACAATCAGGTTGCTCTTATTATCAGTAACACGAGGTCGAAATGAAGTTGGTACCATGTATTTACCTGCTTTGGTTATCGAAATATGGTTTTCAGGATATATAATGAACCATGTTCTTATGCACAATAATGAGATTACATAATCATATATAGCCATTTCTAATGTCAGTTACATCTTTCATTCAATGTCTTCATAAT